GGACTTTGATCACACTGGCCATCTGGATCTCGAACAATACAAGCTTTTCTTCCGCTGTCTGGGACTGACCGATGACGATGCTGCCGTTTCCTTTGCTGTGATAGACAAGAACGGCGATGGCCAATTGTCGCTCAAGGAGTTTGTGCATTTGGGCCGTCAGTTCTTCCTAACCGAGGACGATACAAAGATATCGAAGATGTTCTGGGGACCGCTGGTTGCTAATCATTGACGTGTTGCAGCCACTGCTGTAGAATACTCACAAAAACAACAACAACAACAACAAAATGTGAGACATCATCATGTTCAAGATGCACGATGCAACAATGAGCCAATGCTGCCACAAACAACATCAACAACAACAACAAAGACAACGACAATGACAATTAGCCATCAGTCGTTGCCAACACGCATGCAGGTGGCATGCGGCAGTTGGCCCTATCTACAGCATGTGGCGCCTCGTACAAACAGCAACAATCGAAACAACAACAGCAACAACAATACAATCATTATAAGGAACATGAGCATTTACGACTATTTACGGCAAGAGTGGAACCACACAGCCAAGCGCTATCGCCGGGAATCGGAGAGCGATGAGGATCCAATGCCCAGTCCCAAATTGCGAAAACACAACTACAGCAACTATCATCAGCGGAGGGAGCAGGAGCGCGAAAGGGAGCGGAATGGCGGGACAGGAAATAAGAATTCAGTGGAGGACTATGATATAAGATTTTTTTTCTACCTTAATTCGCTAATACTATTCACGGTATCGTGCCGCAAGTACGAAGGCGATGACCTAAAACACTTTATTGTCGAACGCATACGTAAATTTGATCGTGTGCGCCGCAAGGCGCGCAAACGCCGCAAGCGACGGCCCAAGCAAATGCTGGCAGCCGAGCAGCAACTGCCATCGTGAGTCGTGAGAAGAAACGCCACTGCAGTCCGCCCTCTGATTATCGCTATCTCCCCTCACACCCCACCCCCCCAACTATATCTATTCGTATATGATATCTATTATTTTTTTTGGCTAGTTAAGAGTTACGTTTAATAACTGATATACAAAACCAACAGCAAACATGATATGTAACAAGAATAAAACTGATTTTAATTTGTAATCGTAATCACACAAAGAATTTTGCACTTCCGCTTCATCTGTGCCGCCCTTTTGCGGTCACTGCGAGATGCACAAAATGTACAAAAAGGCAGCGCCAAGCAGAGCAAAGCCGACGACGCTGCGGACATATATCATTATGTAAACGCGCCTGCAAAGAGGATTTTCTGGCGATATCAACTGAAAAGTGTTTAGGGCGAAAAAAAGTGGAAAACGCGAGCGTCAGGAATCGAGGGAAACAGCCGCCGAAGCAAAGGATACTCTAGTCAATTGTTCATTTGAGACACGACGATAAAGAGATGGTTGACTTAAATATACTCATAATAAAGGCACGTTCAGTCCAATAGGCTGTTGCATAATAAGACAGATGCGGACCATTTGCAGTGCTTTATATATAATAAAGTATGTACATATCTAAATGTCTGCATACTGTTTGTATATATTTTTGCGGCGTTTGGCGAACCTCTCGTCAAAGTCTCTATACCCAATGAGCAGGGAATGGGAACAGAAATACCCCAAGTTCCATAAAAAAAAAAAACCCCAACAAAAAAATGGGCAAGAAAAAGTTGTCGCGCGTAAATCTCGACGATGGCAACCTCCTACTACGTTCCACGTCTAGGCCGGCTGACCAGAGCTCATTATGCGCATTTGTTGCAAGATGGGGAGAGGATGCAAGATGTGAGGGTGGTTCGTCCCCAGTTCGTTTCGAAATGGGATGACCATTTCTTTCCTCTACTTCTAGTCCTTCTCTCACGCGTTTTTTTCAATCTGGCTTCCCAGTCTCTCTGCCCCCGACTCGCACTCCCGCTCTCTCGTTTTCTCTGGTCTCTACTCTACGTTCGTCTTTTTTTTTTAATATTTATTTGTAGCTAATAATTTTAATGCTATTCAAAATTATGTTGCGAAAAAAGTTGGAAGTAGTGGGAGGGGATAGAGAGTAAAGGAGCGGGTGATGTGAAGCCATGTGAAAGCATTTTTTGGGGCGACTCCATCCTGATGGCCACATCCCCGCATCCACCGACCACCCACACACGAGTTCTGCTTATAAATTGCATTTGTATCTAAAAGGACATTAATTCTGTGTGCGTGTGTGTTAGTGTGGGCCATACCGCACTCAAACAGTGGCAGTGTCCGTGCCCTGGGGCTGGGGCTGGGTGCTGGGTGCTGTCCGTCCACTCTCTGGCTGCACTGCTTGACTGTCCAGCTGTCTCTGTGTGCCCGTTTCCCCACTTTTGCGCATTTCTTACTTGCTTCAATATTTTATAATTTAATTTTTTTTCTCAGCTTTTTCGCCCACTGCTAATCCCTTTTGCCCTGCCATCCACCTCGACCACCCTACCACACACACACACACATTGCTACATCTTTCATTATGTAAATGCACGCTTTACACACACAGAGTTTTTTTTTTTTTCTGGCAGTGTGGCTGCACTTCGCCTTCGGTTGTCCGCTTTGGGGGCCGTGTGTGTTCCACCCATCTTTCTCGGTGGCTGCTTTTTTTTCTTACCACTCTGGGATTTGTTCGTATGTTTTTTATGAATAAAATATATATCACACACGCATACACATGTAAATGGCCAAGTACATATGTAACATGCTGCCTTCTCCTCCTCCTCCCACTATCCGCTCTTACTAACTCTTCTTTCCACTCTTCGCTTAAATTTATTTATTTTTTTTTGGGTTCGCCATTTCAACGTATTTTATCGCGTTTTAAAAGCAGTTTTAAAAAATTAAAAGCACGTCCTAAGTCCACATTTGGTCAACAGATGCTAACCAAGAAGGAGGCGAGCCCAGCCATTCCACTCCATCTCTCTGCAATGTCGGCGGCCTTCATTTGAATGAGACCAATGAGAATGCCAGCAGAGGCACACTATGCCCTCTGGAGAACTTCGTATACTATTGGCAAAGTAATTCATAATTAATTAATGTTTAATTGAATCCAAGTTTTTCTACCAACAATATCATTGTTACGATTGAATCAATCCGAAGGGAAACCTTTTCGGATACAGAAATCAGAGCAGAGAATATTATTGTATGGGAACTTCAATGTTTATGTTGTAAAGAATCTTCGTCTCATGGAATGTCTGATTCAAGGTACCTTGAATCATGGAACATCATGGGGATCAATATCCGAAATGTCATCGCCCAGCTCATCAGGGACATCATCCGAAAGCATCGGGTTCATTGTAGCTAAGATTATAATTTACAAAATATAAATTAGCCGCGGAGGCATCTTCCTTCCAGGCGTACAGAGCTGGCGGAACATCGATGGAACTATCGGATGCAGGCCGACTATTGCAATCTATTCATTATATCAATCGATATTTTTCTTAGCGCAGCCAACTTCACTTTGAAGCGAGTGACAAGAAAAATTGAGCTTATAACAAAAAGAAATTGCGGAAGAAAACTAAAGTGCTAAAGTGCTGCTAAAGTCAGTCTATTGAATATTGAATATGCGGATTACAAATATAAACAAACTCCCACCAGTCCACAAACAGGGGAAGCAGGGGAAGTAACGAAAAGGAACAGCCAGGCTACACAACCTCTTCGTCTTCTACTCGAGCTCTACTCGGCCGTGTCATTCCTGGTAGAAGATCAGTGCCTGCCGTCGCACTGCCTGATACCGGCCGCGCGCACTGAATAGTTCCGTGCCCATTTGCTTGAGTGCCTCCTTCGTCCCATACAGCCCAATCTGAGGATTCTTTGACTCGGACAAGTCTCCATAGAGCATGCATGAGCTGCATGAGCTGAATCCTCGGCTATCTATGCTCGGGCAAACTGCCCATATCCACACTGAACATGGAAGCGACTGGCCCCTATGCATAGTTGCTGGAAGTCGAGGCGGCACTAGCCCAACATCTGCAACAGAATCTGGCCGTCAGGGAATCAATTGAGCAAGCCCTGCAACTGGACACCTTCAAAACCCACGAGTGAAAACCTTGGAAGCTCTACTCCACAATCTGAACGAGGACAACAAGCCACGGAGGAGGCTGCCCGTATGCAATCCCCCAGTAATGGGATATCTATCGAGCTCAGTTGGTGGTGTTCGACTAACAGAATAGGTGCTCTCTCCATCTGCTACACTCATGCACCCACTGGTATCGAGTGGGAACTAGTACGAATGCAGAGAGTGGACGTAATTTGATCGAGTATATGCAGCTCAAAGCCAAGCCAATAAGCAACGGATCGATGTGGAAGCTGTGAGAGTCGGTTACCTTAGTTGTGATATCGAATTTTAATCAATTTCAATTGAATGTAGAAGTAGTAGAAGTCCTTGCCAGGCAGAAATAATTTTTGTTCCCATGGATGCATTGAATAAAATCTAAAACAGCGATTGTACTCGGCATAAACTCTTCGACTGGAAACTCGTGAATGCAACAATCAGTTGTCCAGCCAAGGCAATACTGATACTTGTGTGTGATACTGTTACACTGCTGCCCCGAGGAGGGTTACCCATAGCCAATGTTCGAGCCATCAATCCACGACTGCTGGATTCGGTAGCCGATGGAGAAGAATGGCTCTACTTGGCTCCAGAAATGGAGTGTACACTTGGGCAGGGTCTGACCAAACCCTTGGCTATAGCCACACACACAGTACTTACGTATGTATATGTATGAATTGTGACACTAACTCAATGGTTGAATTTTCTTTCTTTTACGTTTCCTGGCTCTCAGTTTATGCTGGCCACTCGCTGACCCACACAGAATCCGCTCAAGCTTCTACTCGCTACTCGACACTCGACACAAAGGAACCAACCGTCGCCATGCACTGGAAAAGCAGCTTATGATTTCCCTATCCACCAATCACCGAATTCAAATGGCTATTTTGCTATTTTTTTTAATGTTTTGTTGTTTGAACAATGATTTGGCTTATCGTTTTCGTCGTTAAACAATCATTGCTTGTTGCCTTCCTTTGGGGCTTCGGTTGCCACAACTTTCACCTTGTCGACTTTGACGATTTCGTGCAGCTCGCGGATTTCCACATCTTCCAGCTTGAGGGACCACACATTGTCGCAGAGGTTGTAGGTCCTCAGCTTTTTCGCCTTGATGGATAAGCTTGCCTTCGCCTTCTGTTTGAGGGCCTCGATAATGCTTTTATCGTACTGGAGGAGCACCTTGTGGGCCAGGGCTGGCGTGATCAGATCGTTCTGCAGTGGGAAAGGGCAAGGGCCAAGAGTTAATGGTATATTTTTGCATTTGCGATGCGACTCGCAGAAATGCCGCTTCTTTGCCACCGCACTGGGACCGGACTCACCTGGATTAGCTCGTCGAGAGTATCCTGCAACGTGTCGCCCAGGGTGCACGAGCGGTATAGCTGCTGGGACATTTTTATTATTATGGCGTTGATTTCTTCGAACAATAAGATTTCTTTTCCAATTGCAATTGTCACGCTGGACTTCGAGACGGTGTTGAAAAATGTCTTTCGAGACGGTGCTGTAAAATGTTTCAAGGCTAACGATATTTAGATGTTATCGATGAGTGGATCAAAGAAAATAGTTTAGAAATTAATTTAAGCTGAAGTTTATTTAAGCGACTTACTTTCTGGAATTATCTTATATTGTTTATTGACTGCATTGGGAATTTTCTTTATCCAGGATGATCTTCTCATCAGCTGCGCCCGCCAAGTCATTCAGTTCTTCAATTAAATCTGCGTACGATGCAGCTGAGCTTTGTTTGCTTCCCTCCCTACTTTGTCTTATCTGGCTTGAGGAAGCTTTGCCCTTCTTCCGGAAGGGTTTCTCGCCTGCATGGCTGCGCATGTGCAATCGCAGATCCGCTTTACTGGTTGGCCTCGCCCTCGCCTCACAATGCTTCGGCGTATGGCACAAATGAATACAACGTTGCACCAATAGATTCTGCTGGGACTTCCGTTGAATCAAGGGCAGGCTCTAATCACTTGAGCTGTTGCGTGGATATTCATTGCAGAATTGATAGACTTTCCGATTGGTCACTCGCTTGGCTTTGTAACAGCCAGAAGCACCACTTTACACTGACCATCTGACCATGTCTTGCAGCTGTCATTCGATCTCATACGGATTTGCATCTTAATAAATTTTTTCCCAATACATTTGTGCATTTAAATACAAAATTTCAGTCACCTTTTGAGTACGAGAGTATGTTTTTGTTGACTAAAAACTGTTAAATACAGGCGGCTTTTCCCCGCAGGAATTGCAGTTGTCGTTGCTGCTGCTTTGCTAACTGCTCGCCGCGAAATGGCTTTTGCGGGTGGCATAAATTTACCAGCTAATCATAGAAAACAGAGACACTGGGTATGGTTGGCTGGAATATTCAGTACACAACATACTCGTACTTATCCTGGAGAGGCCATAAAAGTGCGCTAATGTTAACCCGTTGCGTTGGTGGCTTCTGTTTGAATTACAATGCCTCATGCCGCCTGCCCCAGCATCTGCACCACACAGACACAGATATCCACGTGTGCAAAGTGGGTTGAGGGGTTGTGGGGTTGCGGGGTGTAGGTAGATTTTATGCTGTTGGCATGATAATTTAATTACAGCTCTGGGATTGGGTTTGCGGCAAGGCGGCATCAATCTGGGGCTTAGACAAGACAATTTTGCCCATACATATATGGATGCCCGCCGCCCCGCTAGCTGCGTTGCTCCCGGCAAGGGCACTCCGCACTCTCGCTGGTATCTTATGCCTAACACCTTTTGGCCAATCTTGGAGTCAAGATAAAAATTGTGACAGCACTGGCACAGGGGGAAACAACCAAAACCAAGAAAATCACTTTTCAAGTGGGCGTACAGCTACTATATATAACCGCTAGCCGAATGGAGGAATACTCTCTGAAAATATATCGGAATTTTGTGATTCGTAGATCTAACCTAAACTAACCTGTATGTCCCGTGTTACCAGTGGTTTTAAAGGGCTCTGGACTCTTTACAATATTTAGCTTATTCCACGTATGTAGGCCTGGAAAGCATTTAAGTTTCTCTGAGACATTCTAAGGGACAATTTGTACTTGGATTCCCATCTATAATATAAAAGAGATCGTGTAGGTCCTCAAAAGCCATCATTATGCTCTCCCTTGTTATTTTTCAGTGTCAATTCTTACAGGAAAATCAACGTATAAATAGATATTCGTAGATCTGGATGCTATAAGCAATGATAGTTATGTAGAATTCATATTTTCTAAGAAGAATTCTCACCTGTACATTTAGCTGATGTACCGCATCCATTTTGGTATAACTTTGTGGGGCTTGCAGGGTATAATTATATATTAAATTAAGCCATTTGCATGCGCGTATTTTCGGGCACCCGCTCCCACTCCACACCATTCCGCCCTTGGCCGGGGCTGTGTTGTAGATTATTAAAAATTATGTCTCACAGTAGGACATGCAATGCTCCTGCCCCCCACCACCGCCGAGCTACCCCTTCTAGGCGACACACACCACACGACATCGCACCACATTCCTGCCCCCCAGTGCCGTGCCTTTCCATCTTCTGCCACATAGGCCACATTAACGTGCCAACGACGACGCAGCAGCGGCTGAGATAAGAAGCAGGCAGCAGTTGCAAAAATTATATAATGTTTTTTTTTTTTGGAGGGGCTTGCATACTCCTACTCCTACATCTTACCCCGTGTCTCTTTGGCACCCTTGTAAAGGGTATTCAAAGTTTTGAGTGCTGTTTTGCAGTGCAGAAAAGGAAGAGTTTGCGATCCTCCAATTTGTATATAGAGGAAAAGATATAGCGGAGGAGGACAGGATACAAACATGGATGTTCGCTCAGTTCTTTCCTGAAAATGGTGGAAATCACAAGGAGCGGTTTTACCTTATAGAATATATATAGATTTATGGATCGTTCAAAGCATTTATGTATATCCTGCAAAGGAATCTGTTAGAGCATCTAAAGCTTCGTCCCCAAAACGATGCTTCCCTTTCTGGTTCTGTTGTTGTTGTATTTTTTTTGTTATTATTATTGTTGGGTTTGAGGAAAATCCACGCAAAAATTATATTTTGACATTTGTCAGCGAAATGGAAAGGGAGTTAGGGGGCCAGCAGTAGCAGCAGGAGAAGAAGCCTCTACATACATGGCAAAAATATAAAGAAGGAAAACAAGAAAATGCAGCTGTGGAAATTTTGTAGAGAAGACGAGGTCTGGCACTAGCCCTAAACCAAAAGCGAAATGCACTTTGGGGGGCTGGGGGTCGGCTCTTTTTTGGTTGCCCTACGGCCCGGCGACGAAGAATTTCCATTCCATGGGGACGCAAACGATAGTTTGGAAATATATGGTTTGCCGTAGAACGATCGATCAAAGATAAAGATTGAAAATTCTGAAATTAATCTCCAAATGGAACTTGGCCACTGGCCTTTGCAGCGACTCTGCCATTTCAGTGTAGCGCATGGCCATTTCCATTGTTGCACACATGGCGGTGGCAACCCTGGCGACCCGCTCTGACGCCGTACCTTGGGGATGCCGCGTCCGAGATTTGTTTAACTAAATTTATATTCTAAATGTTGTCTGTCGTGCGGTTTGGTTGCGCTTTTCCCTCTCTGCGTTTCTGTGCCATGGTTACCCCGGGTCTCTGTGACATAAGCCGCCGCCGCTGCCGCCGTGCCGTGCTGCTTAGTTTTAAAAACTTATTTTAATGTTGGAATTTACATATAATTTTTTTGTGTTTTTTTTTCCTGTGCATCGCCGTTGGTCTTCCCTCTGGCGACACTTTTTTGTTGTTGTGGCGGCCTTTTGTGATTTGAGCCTGACCAAATATATGTACGAGTATGTTTGTTCCAGCTCCACTCTTAATACATATAAATTGTTCAGTGAGTGTGGTGTCCAAATCCTTGGTTAATGCAACGCCACGGTCGAATGCAACCAACTGGCAACTCAAGGAAAGGGGATCGCAGGGCAGGGCAGCAGCAAACAGAATCCTTAAGGGGAAATCCTTAATTCCTTAACAGTCTTTTCAATATAAATTATAAGTATAATATTACTTTTAAATATACTACGATTTTGGGAATATATATACTATATATGTTGGATTATTCTTTTTCTGACTTGAACTCCGCTTAGCTTCTGGTATGGGCAAACTCTCAAACGCAACTACTTTATCGGTATTGCAAACCAGAGCTCTGAGACAATTATTACTCGTTATGCAATTTCCATTTGTCTCTATATCTGCCTTCCTCACACTCGCTACCGCAGAGGAACACGCTCGACGTGCGCTCCCTTTCTCTCGCTGCTTTGATCATCTCTGAGCGAGTGTTCCTCAGCACACACTCGCTCTTGAACATAGAAACAACTGCAACTCGACCAAGGAGACAAAAAGGACAAAAAAGGACGACAAAAAGAGAAGTACAAAGGAAACAGTGATAATACACTGAGAACAATCACTTGGGGGATGGATTCGTAAGCAACTGACAGACCTCAATACACTGGAAATATATATATATAATCCGTCCAATCATCGCTACCATTTCGCTATAAGTAAAACCTGTCTACATTTCGTAGGCAGACGGGCCGAATTGTCCGTGCTCTAACGCCAGGCAAGGCTTCCACTTGAAGAGCGCGACAGATCGAGAGAGAGCTATAGCGAAAGACAGCAAGGCCACAAATGAAGTGACGAAAGAATGCACATGTAGATGACACTGTGGTACAGTGGCGAATGGAAACAACGAACAATAATATGGATTTACTTGGCTGCTGCACCACATGCTGAAGGCTATTGGCTACTGGATTTATGCTCTCAAATTTATGTTAAATTTGTATAAAAGTTTTCTTTCTTTCTCTTTCCTGTATTATAGTATAATTTATGTAATTTACCTCATCGAATTATTAGTAGATAATTGTTAAATGGCTACCATGAGCTAGCAGTCCATATAAGTTCTAATCGCAGAAAGATTAATGCTCGAATAACTATCCATAAAATCATCGTACCAATAAACATACATACATAAATACATACAAATGTAGACATATATATACGTACATATTATTTTAATTGAATTTTGTAGATTTTTATTTGTTGTTCGGTTGAAGTTAAGCATCAACATCGCTTCTCGTGCGGGTTGTGTGTGGAAAACATATCAGAAAAAATTAACGTAAACAATTTAAAGCATTTAAGTCAAAAGTAGTGTGGGTGGGACGATGACAACTAACAGACTAGAAACGACGACGAAATAGATCAATGGCCTTCTTCCAGAAGCCCTTGGAACTGATTAATTTTGGGGAATGCCTCGCCGGATTTGAATTTCTGAATTGCATTGTCTAGGTTGCACATCTGTTTGGACTTTGCGTCATCAAAATTCTCCCTTCCCCTTTTCATAGCATCTTCAATATTCTCCTTCTTCAGAGTCAAAGCTTCTA